CCGGGCCGGGACGGGCTGCTCAGGCCGGGCCGGGCCGGACCGACAGGGCACAGGGTAGGGACAGGATGGCCGGGCGCAGGCGGCAGGTGCCTGGTGGGGTCACAGCCGGGCCGCTCCGCCGATACTGGCACAAGGTGAACGGGGACAGGAGAGGAGAAATAGAAAGGGAGAGGAGATATACATATGTATTACGTAGATGGAGGGGAGAGGAGGGAAGGTTAGCGGAATGAGGTAGAGTTAATTGCAGACGGGGAAATGCTGATAATTAACGCTATTCCCTGGTAATTCTATATCGACTATATCAAGGGGATTTAAGGTTTTCGGGCTTTGAACATTTTGTAGTTAATAGGTGACTACAAATGCTTTGCATGTAGCCAAATTGCTTGTATCGGTTTGAAAGGCATTTCTTATTTGTTTCTACGGGCTGTAACAATGCCCAGTGTCCATCAGTCACCTTCGCTCGCCTCGAGTCTGGTTCGCGTCGGAAACTCGGTCGGCTTGTGTTGTAACTGTGGGACTACCTGAGCGACCTTGGACCGGACGTGACCCGCCATCCCATCCCCTCCAGTCTCGTTACGTCCACTCTGCCGGTGGTATCTCCCTCCCCTCCCTCCCCCCCCCACAATCGGACAGCTCCAAGAGTCTGAGGTCACTGTGGTTCGCTCTGAAAGGCCGAACGCAGTACCGCATTTAGCCCAGCCTCGACCCGCCGGGCTGCTGAGCTCAGCAGAGCCGAGCTGCAGCGTGTTAGCCACAGCGGGGAACACCATGGTTCAAATATTATCCATGGGAGGTCTGGTCAGGCTAATCCCTGCCTTGTGCCGGCAGTCCGGTGTAGAGACATAAGATCTGTAAAATGCAGCTTAGAAGCAGGTCTAAGCAGAAGCACTCCATCGGTTTCCAAAGAATGGAAGCGGGATGGATATGATCTGTACCTAAACATCCCAGTTTGTTTTGTTTTGTTGGGTTAGGCCCTTTCGGTCGACAAGACCATTGCAGAGCCGGAAGGATGATAGGAATTAGGGGGAGACATTGGTCTGGGCAGGCACCCTAGAGAGTCGCCGGGGCTGAGCCCGTCCATAGGACAGGCCGACCAGCCCCCCAAGCACTCTCTGCACCCGGCTACGGGGTGCAGCTCCCTCGGGAGCAGCGGTGCCGCTCCAAGGGAGCAGCCCGCATGAGATAAAGTTGCCTGTCCAGCCCGGAAGGGGGTTGCGGCGTGGAGGAGAAGGATTTCAGTATCCTGAGGATAGAAGCACGGATAGGTCAAACATCCCAGAATGCAAGCCATGTGTGGTTAGTTTGTCTGTTGGACTTGGAATCCACGAAGGGAAAGGCTGACCATGACCCGTCGCGTTCCGACTCCGTCTACCGGCCACTCCGGAGAAGCCGGCCGTAAATGCCGGTCACCTGTCTCCATTTGGGCGGTGCCAAGTGTCATCAGAACGGGAGCGTGAGGCGCGCACGGGGTCAGACCACTGGATCACCTTGAAACCACGAGCGATTCCGTGGGAAACCGCAGACGGCACGGGTGTGCCGAAAACGAACCGGTCCTCTGATCCCGCGGTAATTAACGGTATTTGACGTGTTTGGTGTCTTGAAATGGTCCATTAACTCGGTGTCACAAAGCACAAAAGAGCTGCATGCTTGAATGGAATGGACGTTGGATTACCCTGGTTGACTAAGTTTCTTTCAATCTAGTAACTAATTACCATAAATCGTGACTTTAATGAGTGCCCAACTATTACCTATGGCAACAATATAAAGCTAAGAAAACTGAATAGCCGTGCCCGTTTTGATGACAACTACAAGGAGCGAAGTTCACGGGCGTCACTTTCCGGAAATTATTGGTAGGGCTCTAATGGCTTATTTAAGGATACCAATGCCATTCTTACCATGCAACGCCATAGGGCTAGTGTTAACGTTCCGAAATTATTGGTAGGGCTCAGGCCCTACACACAGAAAAATATTAACACCGTTAGCGGTGTAATTGCACAGTACATATCTGAGCACTTGAGGAAAGTTAATTTAGTCCCTTCCCCGCTTAAATTACTCGCGCTTCTAAATGAACACCAGGAAGAAGGTAATAGAACACTGTTAGGAGGGTTGGGTGTTTTGCTACATGTAGTAAAACACCCAACCCTCCTAACAGTGTTCTATTACCTTCTTCCTGGTGTTCATTTAGAAGCGCGAGTAATTTAAGCGGGGAAGGGACTAAATTAACTTTCCTCAAGTGCTCAGATATGTACTGTGCAATTACACCGCTAACGGTGTCAATATTTTTCTGTGTGTACCAAGCCTAAAAAAACACCCATGGGCCGAAGTTCTTACATTGGCGCTGTACATACAAGTGCACATGCATAGTGCATACCTTTTATTGTGCATTAGCGAAGCCTTTAGAGCCCACATTTGGAAGCAGCATGCAAGAAGAAGTACCCACCTACCCAACCCATATAATTTATCGAACCTACAGGTCGGGAAGATTCAGTAGCTAATATTCACTGAGCGCACCACTTAGCAACAGAAATAGCTTCCAGGCCGCCGAATATAATCACATGCACTGATACGGCGGCTTCCTGTTTTTGCCACCACCGCCGTTCGTCAGACCCTCACTGCGTGACACGCGCTCCGGGAGCTTCAGTGGGACGAATTATTCGGCTGCTTGTATTTGGAAATATCACTGTACTCAGCTTGTGGGTGTTCCGCAGTCATTCATTACGTGCCACTTTATCGTCCGAGATAGGAATTTCAGTTCCTTTTTCTTCGCAGACGTTCGTCAAAATGAACAATATTTAAAAGTACCTAAAAGTGTGCGATTAACAGCGAAATCAGCAACGGGCATGTTAGGCAGTAGGCACATATGTTGAATTAGGAGGAACATGAAGCACATCAGCTACAGTTACACAGAATAAATACTATAAAGAGATCTAGGTATATAAGTAGACATTGAAGACAAAAGAAGCTGCAATGGCGGTTCGGAGTTGCTTGACGTTTTATCAAATTAAGGTGATATTTGAGAATATTATGTTCGAGCGTAACCTATGCATGCTTGAAGTTTATGACTAGTTTTTTTTAGACATTCCAGATACCTACCTACTACCTAGTTATACTATAAGAGTAATAATTAACTTCCTAAATTAAGGCTTAGTTTGCTTCTTTTTCTTTTTTCTTTGTTTCTTTTTTCGATATTATCGTTATTTCTCAGGCGAATAACGTTCAGAAATTTGACATTTGGCATGCTATGCATTGTATTACTCTGAAATTTATCAACAGTAGGTAGGCAGGCTAATTAGTAATATTGCCACGCAAATTATCATCGCACTACCGGCCTTCTAATCTACTAGACATCCAGGCTGAATGTCGTTAGATACGATAATCATTTTACCTGGCGAAGAGTCTTGCGGTGACGTCAGGGCCCATCCGACATTCCCGCTTCATAAATTGGCCGGCTGGCGTCATTTTCCCCGATCCGACCGGTCCAGTCGGCACGGCCTCGGCGAAGGTCAGGAAAATGTGAACGGTGCTCTTCAGTACTCGTCGGTTTGTAGCCGCTAACGGGTTTGGTTGGGTCCTAAAAACTGCTGGCTATAGGACTTAAGCTCATCGTATAGTTTAGCTAGTTAGGAGAACAGTCAAAGCCGTTCGTAAGCTCATTCAACTGATCCAACCGCCTCCCCTCATCGCACAAAGCAGAGAATCGCCGCACTCGCTTCTCCCTCTGGTTAGGGAAACTGCAATGCGACACACAAACGTATCCCGGCGCATTCCGTCCGTCCCGGGCGCCACGCGAGGCGAACCAGGGTATATAGAGGCGAACGGAGCGAATTCGACCATACGTGCCAACTCTCCCAACTGGGCGTCTGGAGTCTTCCATGTGCAAAATGCGCAGCACGTGTCACTCAGCCACACTTCTGTGGTTATTCCGTCCTCGACTCTGACACTACCGATCGTCAGACTGATAGGTTCTGACCACGTCGAGTACCCTGGCTCGTGCAGGGGCCGGTACGATGAGGGACGGTGTTGCAGCATTTGGGTCGGTGTCATAATGTTACCATGTGCCCGACACAATACCGACCACTGGTCTGAGCCGTATCGGCGCATTGTATCATTGATGTTGTCCTTGGAAGCCTTTTGGTCCGAGCCCTGCATTCAGAGGCCCACCAGGAGCGACAGATCGGTGGCAAAGATAGCCTTCTGGTGTCCCCATGTGTCGTTTCTATACTTTGTTTGGGTTCCGTTTGTGATAGATTTCGACCAGTGCGCATTACCGTTATTCGATTAAAGGGACACTCCCACCTTAACATTAGTTTTGAGTTGAGATAGCCAAATTGGTGGCCATGGCCTGCAAATACCGGTTTGGGCATTCACAACATCGAAAAATGCTTTAATTCGAAGATATGGAATTTCAAACTTGCAGTTTTCGGATTCTAAGGGGCTAATGCATTGGAATGCCCCCTTAGAATTTGTGACGTCAGCGGAGATCTAACGATTTTTAAATCTTAGACTAAAACCATCGTTAACACGTGGTGGTATACGCTGCTTTGCGCGCAACGTCTGCCGCACTTTAAGGCTGCCAAATTATTGCTTCCAAATAAAGTCGCTAGTAACAGGGGAGATCCCAAAAAGTAAACAAAAGTAAAAGCCTAATATCTTGAAAACCAGTGAATATTTTTCGGTGAAATTTGGTAGATATTCGTTTTCGCTCTTTCTGAACCAAGGGACATCACTTTCATGCCAATTCATTAACTTTTTTGAAGGTGGGAGGGTCCCTTTAACATGAAATACTGTGAATCGCCATATGTTCACTTCTATCCGTTATTTTGGGCTCTGAAGTCGTGTACTTCGTCAATCAAGAGTACTTATTTTATACCGCTTTTACACGTAAGAAATACGTTTTGTTACATTTTTGAACACGTTGTAAAAACCAGCTTTTTGGTGCATTTTAAACACGTACTAAAAGCGATCTTTTCTTAATCTAACACTGAAACTTGTTTTCGCAGGCGAAAACCAGCCCCCCGAAGCCGGCGCACAAGGGCCCGATCCCTGTGAAACCTCCGGTTCCGCCAAGCACCGACAAGAAGCAAGAGGAGGACTCCAAGAAAGAGGAGGACGACACCAAGCAGGAGGAGACCTCCACTCCAGCCGAGGCTGCCAAAAATGAAAATGGCTCTCCAGTAGCCGACGAAAATGTCGCTGAAAACAAGGAAGAAACAAATGATAACTCGGATAGCTCCCCTGACTCGGCGGATAAATCAGTGGCTGAAGAGAAAACGGATTCAACCGAGACAGCGCAGAATGGCTCGACAGATGAACCAAAACCAGCGGAAAACGGCGCGAAGTCAGCGGAGGAGAAGACCGAAAATGCGGAGGAACCTAAACCAGAGGACTCCAAACCAGAGGACTCCAAACCTGTGGAGGACTCCAAACCTGTGGAGGACTACAAGCCAGAGGAGGACTCCAAGCCAGTAGATGAATCTAAACCGACAGAAGAATCCAAGCCAACCGAGGAAGTTAAAGCAGATGAAGAAACTGAGGTGGCTGAAGATGAATCTAAGCCAGCGGAGGAACAATCCAAGCCGGCTGATGCCTCTAAGCCTGTCGAAGAGGAGCCAAAACCAGCCGAGGAGGAGCCTAAAGCTGCGGAGGAGCCTAAGGCTGTGGAGGAGGAACCCAAACCATCGACTCCTGAAGCCAGCCCGGTGCCTCAGATCACTATCACAACAGAAGAGAATAGCGATGCGACTCCTGCAGAACAAGAAACGGTAAGATCCAGGGGTGCAGATAATTCATTCACCGCCGAGTTTGCACCGTGATTGCAGATAATTCATTCACCGCCGAGTTTGCACCGTATTTTGTAAAATTTAAACACCAGATGCTATAGGGAGCTTTACTTTGCCTAAAAATAGCCTTACACAATGCGCTCAATAACACAGTAAATCAAACTAAGCGTTGCTGTTCAATGTGTTTCTGACGTTGTTTTTATTAATGTGTAAAAGGAACCCAACCGCTAATAGCCGTTATAAGCGTTACTGTTTAGTGCGTGCTTAAATATCCCAGTTTACACCTTTTCTTCCCATCAGATACGTAAATGAAGCACATATTCTAACATGCGCAACCACAATCGTTCTAGGGTGACGGTGCCGAAGCGTCAAAGGAGGACGAGGTCGACAAAGCAGCAGAAGCTGTAGGAGAAACTACAGCGCCATCAGCAGAGACGGAGACAAAACCGACAGAGACTGAGACAGCAGAGACGGAGACGAAGCCAGCGGAGGTGGAGACGGCTCCTGCAGAGACGGAGACGGCTCCTGCGGAGAAAGAGGCGTCTACTGAGCCCGAGACACCAGCAGAGGCGCCGGAGCCGGCAGCGGAAACAGAGGCGACCGAGACGGAGACTGTCGAGACGGCCAAAACCGAAACGGCAGAGACTGAGACGGCTGTGACGGAGACGGCCAAGACCGAGACTGCCGACGCCGAGACTGTGCAGAAAGAGGCTGAGAAGACAGCCAAGGAGGAACCAGCAGAGGAGGAACCAGCCAAGGAGGAACCAGCCAAGGAGGAACCAGCAAAGGAGGAGCCAGCAAAGGAGGAGCCAGCCAAGGAGGAGGCGAAACCAGACAGTCCCGAGCCGGGCAAGGTGGAGGAGACGGAAGAGAATGCATCTGAGGAGAAGGAAGAGAAACAAGCAGAGCAGCCGAAAGAGGAGCTGAAGCCAGCGGAGGGGGAGAAGTCCGAAGATAAGCCTGAAGTGAAACCAGAACCACCAGTTCAGCAGGAGGAAAAGAAGGTGAGATATTCAGCCCACAATTAATGCCGAATGTTTGACAGGGCAGGAGCCTTGAACCGTTGTAAAGATAGTTAAAAAAACATTGACCGGAGAAAAGTCTCAACAGGTTATTTTTACACAGAATAAGCACAACGTTTTTTGCCCATGTATCATGAACACGAATAGTTTTAAATGCCCGAATTATTTTGGCACAAATCTAAAAAAGGTCGTGGACATCGACAAATGTTTTGCAATAGGACATCGTGACACGTTGTCATTCATCCCTATTTACTATTGAAGGAGGCGAAAACAGTTCGGAGCCGGATAAATCTGAGAGGACAGAATAGCAAAAGCAGAAAGCGGAGGCATCGGTTATACCGGTTAAAGGGACAACGCCCACTCAATCGCCAGACAAGCACAAACAATGCAACATGAATGCCGAACCAGCCGCACGAGCCCATTGTCCGTCCGTTTACCAATGCCCTTGTGTTTGTTTCCTCAGGCGGAGCCACAGGCCGCTCCCGCTGAACCCGCCCCAGCTGCGGCCCCGGCGAAGCGGGCGACTGCGACGCACGACTACGAGCCGATCCAGTTCAACAGCGCAGCCACTGCCCCCGCTGCCACCGCTGCTGCCCCTGCTGTGGACCCAGCGGCACCCTCCGGGACCACAGAGTCCCAGAAGGCCCGGCACGACCCCGCCGCGCCGCCTGCCTCGCCACCTGCCGCTACCACCGCCTCTCCGCCGGCACCGAACGGCAGCGCCGCTGCCACCGCGAAACCGTCGCCGTCATCGGCTCAGAAACCATCGCCGGCGTCTGCTGAGAAACCAGCAGCGGCTGCTAAAGGAGCCGAGAAGCCAGCGGCTAAGAAGTCTGACAGCATCGAGGATGAGTCGTGGAAGAACTTGACGGTGGCCGAGATGCGCGAGCGTCTGAAGGCCAAGAAGAGGCACGATCCTCGCGAGGATAAGATGTCGTTCAAGAGGCGGCATGAGATCGTCTCCAATATGTAAGGGTGAGCTGAGCGCTGATGAGGACAGGGTGAGGGAGAATGATGACGGCTTCTGACTTGGACTCACGTTCCAGAGCTGATGTGATGAAGTGTTGATGACTGAGAGTGACGAGTTAGTGACTGAGGAAGAGTTGTGAGTTGTGAGGCAGAGTGGAGTTTCACTGGTGAGGCACTGAGCCACTGAGACAGTGTCTCGCAGTGATCTGCAGGACCGGTCGTGATGCTACTGAGCTGCCACAAGGGCGTGTTAGATCGGCAGATCGCAGCCCTTCTCATGCATTTTTCATCAGAGGTCACTGACAGCCGGATAGCAACTCAAGGATCGAGTGAAATTATTTCAGAAATTATTTCAGGTCGTCATTGGTTTTCGCTTCTGTTTTTCCGGATTCACATTGGCCAAACTAAGCAGCATGTTCTACCTAGCTTTTACGACAATATTCTGATGGGCAAGACTCTACAGAACACATAACTACCCTAGAGCCATAAATAAACTTGCAGTCAATGCCACACCCAGTAATAGCAATCGACTGGAATTTGCATTGCATGGCGAAATTTGCACCGTAAGTGCACTGCGGGACCGGCGTGATCACTACTATATGCAAAGTGGCTGCCGGGTGTGTCGCCTCGTGGCTTTCGTAGCATATCGAGGATCAAAGCGCGGGAAACGGTGTCGTCAAGTCAAGAACTAGCTGCAGTCAAGAAGCAGCCGTGTGATAGTACCGAGACAATGATCAGAGACGAGCATTTCCCTATCAGACTACACGGCACGCACACCGATCACGGTTGTAGTGGGATAGGTATGACTATTGGTAAACAAATTCGAGAACGTCTGTAATTCGTAAATTCGTCTGTCTGTAATCAGAGAGGTCTGTCATCGTTAAATCAGGTTCGCACATTTATTAAAATGCGCAATGTTCCTGACGTCTATATAGGTTGCTACGAGACGAACCGCGAGCCAACGCAAATAAATGGAAACGAGACTTGTATAGAAAATAGACGTTATACTGCACAGTGCACAACTTGATTATTCACACTACGGAAAGCTTTTGTTATGGATGCATGAGTGGGTATGTTTGTAGATTGAAGACTTGCCTACTTTCTGCGTTATGGTTGTGCCATTACCGTGTAGCAGCAGAGGTCAATGTGATTGGTATAATGTGGAGCTGAAATCTGTAAATATAGTCGTTATAGGAATGGCTCGTAAGATATGCTTACCCTTACACGCAAACGGCCCGGGACTGATGCATTATAATCGAGAGATTGTCTGATACTGAGTCGACCCCTGTGACCAATTGCACCATATCAGTGAGTGACCTGTGAGCCCTTGCCTGTCATGTGCGTCCGCCCGCCGTCGGCCGGAGGAATGTTCGGGTCTCGCCGTTGATTGTCATTGGCGCATTGAAGTTGAAGAAGCCCGTGTGGAAGATATAGGAGGATCCACAGCCGCCTCATAGATGAGCGTGAAGTTATCATGGCGACCGCTATACGACCGTCACGCCATGTAGATCGAGTGCTGTTAGACAGCATGCTTTGTTGTATGCACTGCTGGTGGAATCGATATAGCTCTTATTAATACATTGTATATTCAAAATAGCATGTGAAAGAAAGCTCGTGCGGAAAATGTTAAATGAGCATCCGAACATTTATTCTGAAGGCTGCCTCTTGAACGAAATCGGATCTCATCACTGAAAGAGTCGTGGACGTCGACGCCAACTTCACGGATATTTCTTTTAGCCCCGGGAGGTGGGTCTGCCAGAATCCACATACCTATATCCTTATCTTTATTCCTTTATACATCCTAGGATAGAAGGATTTGATAAAAAGGAGGATATTAGCGACCGAATGGGACGAGGGTGGCTGTTTAAGTAGCAAGCACAGGGCCCGGAGAACGGTGACCAAAAGGGCCAGACGGAAATCAAAAGTCTGAACCACGGGCGGGGCTGCCCTGCCAACACTGCGGGATGGAGGGGGGGGGGGGGGGAGGGTGCTGGGTTCCAGAATGCGAGACGAAGAGACTAAGGTGAGTGGTGACCAATGTAAAACACTTCCTAATCCCTTTTACCCGTGTCCATTCACCGGACCCTTTCCTGCCTTATTCAATCCCGCGCTCCTTCTCTAGTCTAGTCCTTTACCCACGGAATAGAGAGCCTACTTATGGATTTAGCCTGCGGATGCTTGGTACCGGAAGGGTGCCGGACAGGATACAAGGCGCCAGGCGGCACGGGGCACTGGGAAGGGAATGAAGCACGGCAGTCGGCACGGAGCCGCGGGCGGGGTGCCGGTTGCGACTCATCTCCTTCGTGACGGGAAAATATTAGCATTCACGAGTGAGGCAAAACTCACGTAAAATACTTGAAAAGCTGAGCAGATTTGGAATAAACTCCAAGGTAACATACATAAACCAATTATTACAAGCGAAAAACGTAAACAAATATCAATGTCTCTTAACATGATTAACGGCCATCAATAATTTACTTAACGCAACTTACTTAGACAGAACTGCGCATGCGTAGTGGCGCAGCTCCAACAGCCAATCAGATTAATCAATAGACCGGACGTCGTGTTCTGAGAGCGCGCGGCGTGGTGGTCAAGGCCGTATAAGAGTGGTGGTGTTTCGCGCGCTTCGAAATAGTATAGGTGTTATATTGTGAAATAGCCGGTGTTTATCACATTTCGACAATATGTCGACTGAAGGACCGACACCCAAGAAGATGAAAAAGATAGACGAGTCCGGAGACCTAGAAGAAAGCCGTGATTTCGACGCCGAGACGCAGAAGGCTTTGGAGGAAATCGACGGGTGTCAAAATGAAATCGATGCCCTCAACGAGAAGGCTAGTGAAGAAATCCTTAAGGTAGAACAGAAGTACAACAAGTTGAGGAAGCCGTTTTTCGAAAAACGGAACGAAATAATTAAGAAGATTCCTAACTTCTGGGTCACTGCAGTATCCTTTTGGCCATGCAACCGGCGTCTGCGCCGCAATTGTAGCACTCGTGTTACGGATGTATGCATCAATTATTTTTGCCATTTTTTTGCTGTGTTTCCATTAACAACACCCTCATCTGTGTATTTCATCCATAATTGTAGGTCTAACTGCCCTTTACTGCATCAGAAATCGACAATAGTGTCTTAAGACTGGCTTGAATGACTTACGAGTTAATGGTAATGCCCAGGTTTGAAATTTTTGCACTGTTTGCTGGTGCAGCAAGAAATGATCGTGGAGTAATTTTTTCACCTTTGGTCATGGCTTTCAGTCAAACCCCGATAGGGGTGGCAACGTAATGCTATACTGCTAGAGGTCAGTTTAAAGGGACCCTCCCACCTTAACATTAGTTTTGAGTTGAGATAGCCAAATTGGTGGCCATGGCCTGAAAATACCGGTTTGGGCACTCACAACATCGAAAAATGCTTTAATTCGGAGATATGGAATTTCAAACTTGCAGTTTTCGGATTCTAAGGGGCTAATGCATTGGTATGCCCCCTTAGAATTTGTGACGTCAGCGGAGGTCTAACGATTTTTAAATCTTTTACTAAAATGTTTGGTAGCACGAGGTGGTATATGCTGCTTTGCGCGCAACAAATGCCGCACTTTCAAATAAAGTCGCTAGGAACAGCGGAGATCCCAGAAAGTAAACAATAGTAAAAGTCTAATATCTTGAAAACCGGTGAATATTTTTCGATGAAATTTGGTAGATATTCGTTTTCGCTCTTCCTGAACCGAGCGACATCACTTTCATGCCAATTCATTAACTTTTTTTAAGGTGGGAGGGTCCCTTTAAGCTCCTGTGCCTGGACTATTATTTCTGATGCACATTTAACCCGCGAGTTGCTGGGGGGGGGGCGTTAAACGCCCCCACTTTTTTCGCCGGGCCATAGCATAAAAACGGCGCGCCGCAGGCGCGCCAAATTTTGGGTACCTGTAGGGAATCGATTGAAGTTAATTGTGACAAAGTTTCAAAAAAATCGGTCAGAAAATTTTTGAGATATCAAGGTTTTAGTGACGTCATGATTTCTGAGTTTTCGACCAAAAACGGCATATGTTCAAAAAATCATATAAAATCACAGAATAGACATACAGACATGCCGTAAACGCCATTAGACTGCCAATACCATGATGAATCAAATGGCTATCTTCGATTATTGATTATCGTTCCGCATTTTCCAAAATCTTGAACTGAATCTTGGCAGTTTTTCGTGACTACTTCACGACCATGATACATAAATTTGTTAAATTGAAGTTTTTGAGCCAAACACGTACACATATGATAAAATTAATGTCACCATCGTGTTCTACGCCCCAAATAACCTATAAAACATGTGTCACAGGCTGCGAATATCAGTTTTGATTTTCGGGGATATGTGCCTACCCGGTTGACCTGACCTTGACCCTGACCTATGCTTGACTGACCCCTCTATGGAGCTGACACTCTTGTAGTCCTTATAGGGTGGGTTGTGCACCGTTTTGACAGAGTTTATGGCGAGAGGCGCCCATTGCGAAGTCCTGAAGTCCATGCTACTGAAAGCCCGATTTCAGGTGTTTGACCTGACCTTGACCCGACCTGTGACCTCAAAATTCAACTTTAAAGTACTCATCTGAAGCGTCTCGTCGCGCTCTTTCGTTTGCCGCCTCGTGCGTTTCGCTGCGCCTATTGGTTCTCGAGTTATCGGCTGGGGGCGTTTAACGCCCCCCCCCCCCCCCAGCAAACGGTGGGTGGCGAAATACCCCAGCAACTGCCGGGTTAATAATTAATAGCCCTGTATAGATGCTTTTGTGCAGTACTCAATATGCTGTTTATGAGCATGGAACCATTGGAACCAATCAGCATTCAGATTAATTATTTTAATGGGTTTGTGCCTGGACTGACATGACACATCAAGTGGGTCAGATTTTAGTGGATCATTGATTATGAGCATATTGTATTACATGCACATGCATTGTACACTGTTTGAATGCTTCTTATTTTCAGCTTTCCATTGTGTCTACAAATGTTAGTGATGTTGATATAGAGCTTTTCTTCTTCCTTTACAATCAGCCATAAAACATGCACTTCATGGTTTATATTTAGTATACCTATCTCCAATGATATTCTGACAAGGAATGCTGAGTCATTTATCATTCCTATCTTTTCCCTGAACATTCTGCCTGTTTTATACACCATATATCAATTAAACCAGCCTAAAATTTAGCCCAAAACTCAACCAGTGATATATTGTGGTAACCAGAGTAGTAATGTAATTGAGTATTTGCTAAGCTGCAGTTAGCTGTGGCCTGTGACATTGAGCTTTGACAGAGCTTTGGGCATGATTGTGTAGGGTGTGTAGACTGCCCATCTGTGTTGGTTCCTTGACTGCAAGTTACTCAGTTTGCCAACCATCCACAAGTATCAGCACTACTGGATGAGGAGGAGGAAGAATGCCTCCACTACATGACCCAGCTGGAGGTGGAGGAATTCGAGGACATCAAGTCCGGCTACAGGATCAAGTTCCACTTCTCAAAGAACCCCTACTTCTCAAATGATGTTCTAACAAAGGAGTTCCATTTGGGAACATCAGGTATGCAGCTGCAATCAGGTGTGCTCTTTTGGCATTAAGCAATGACTAAATGGAAGTAATGATGAAATATGTACTTTATTTTACAATGTTGTATTAAGCCTAGAATCGAATTGATAATTTCTGAGTTCAGCTTTTGAAAAGGAGAATTGGAGTGTTTTTGGTATGGCTGACTTCTGCTAGTTCACTAGTTCTGTTATTCTAATTTCTCTCAGTGAACAATGTGAACAGCCAGGCAGATGAAATCATTGCCTAGTACAAGCCTTGTCAAGGACGTGCTGACAACTGCATTCCGTCTCTTATTTGAACACGCGCCCCACCCCTCCCCACTCCCCGTGTTCACAGATCCCAAGTCAGAGTCAACAAAGATCAGCTGGAGTGCCGACATGAACCTGGTCAAGAGCGCGCGGAGTCGGCAAGAGAAGATGAAGCAGGGCCGGAAGCGCGGCCTGGACGTCAAGTCCTTCTTCCTGTGGTTCGAGGATCACGAGGACCCGTCGCAGGACGACATCGCCGAGGTCATCAAGGACGACATGTGGCCGAACCCGCTGCAGTACTTCCTGGTGCCCGACATCGAAGTGGAGAACGGCGTCGAGGAGGAGGAGGAGTGAGTAACGGGGTGGAAGGAGGGAGCGGGAGGAGCGGGTGACTGGAGGGAGGGAGAGTGAGAAATGATAGAGGGAATACTCAGGGGGCAGTTAGTGAATGGCAGGGTATTTATAGTGGAAGGTGGGAAAAGTGAATCGCCAATGGGACTGCTTGGCATGTCACAGTTTATTGCTTTAGGAAAATACATACCGTAAAGTGGGGCTATTTGAGACAGTATTTAAAATCGCTATAAAATGAAGACCGTTTGATTTTTTCACAGTTTTATTTACATAATTCACATATAAACCCCGGCAAAAATAAGCATGGAACATTGTTGTGGTCACCATCGGCGGCCCGCCTGGCCAGGCCGGGACGGTGCCGTCCACGGCCCTGGGGAGAGCTGGGGGATGCTTCCCCAGCCGGGGAGATCTGATGGCTACCTCCCCGGCGCTCCAGGCGGGCCGCCAGCCCCCACCCGCACCGCCCGGCAAGCAACCCCGGGCGGTGCCCCCTAAAACCACCGACCGGGCGAGCGAAGCGTCGACCCGTCTAGGTCGGCGCTCCGCACGCCCGGCCGGCCGGCCGGCCCCTCACAGGAGGGGCCAGTCCCGGGTTGGCCCGGATGGGTCATAGGGGCGGGGGCTTGTTTCGCGCACAACCGTTTGATTTTTATGTGATATTTTTGCTCAGGAAGGTGTGGAATCGAGCAGTAATTCGCCTGAGCAAAAATTAGGCATAAATTTCAAACGGCTTTTATTTTATAACCATTTTAAATACTGTCTCAAATAGCCCCACTGTCTCAAATAGCCCACCTTACGGGATGTCATTTCACTTGTTTGCGTAAAAAAGGCGTTGCTAATCGGCGCTGATTTATTTTCGAATCGGATGGTCGTTTTCACTGTTTTGCACTTGCTAATATAATTCCATGGTATCATGTTTAGCTGTTGCTGGCTGCCGCTGACAAGTCACGAAGGGAGCGGCTACTCTTGTGGTCTGCTCCGTAATCACTGCCCTCCCTTCTCCGGCTCTAACAGCTGCCCCCTCTCCGGCTCTAACAGCTGCCCTCCCCCGGCCTCTGGCTCCACTGTCCTCCCCTCTCCGGCTATAACATCTGCTCTCTCGTTGCAGGGGTGATGTCGACGAGAGCGTAGTAGTGATGGAGGAGGAGGATGACGTGGACGGAGAGGAGGGCGAGGAAGGTACGTACGTCGGGGGAGAGGAGGGAGAGAAATGTACTTAGTACCTACGTCGGGCTAGACTCATCCCAGCTGAGCAGCAGAGGCGGTCAAAATAAACACTGAACATGCAGCACATTCTGTCATTGCGTTAAGATCATTGTCTAGTTAGTAGTTACGCAATGATTGTACAACCGCGATGGTCTAAAAGTGTGTTGTGATTACCTATTTTGTCTGCTAAGATGATTTTTTTTTTAGTTCAGACGAGCGCACTAGTAATGTGTTTCGCTTTTTCGTGTAGTTTTATTTCAGTTTCCTGCTTTTTTAACATTAGACTTGCTGATGAGCGTCTGTGCCCCGCAAAATTGCCTATAGTATTGGACAGCAGACAATCTCCCAACATCTCCTGGGAATTGGGATTCGCTGAGAACCCTCATGCCGTTACCATGCCCTCCCCATATGCCTGTTGACCCGGATATGACTGAGGAGGACGTGCCTCGAGTGACGTCATTCAGACATTTAGTTTGTGCCTGTGGTGACCTTTTATTGTTCTACCCGCCGCATCAGTCACATGGGCCTTGTTAGTTGAATGACTCAGTCGTAGGGTGACAGCCGCCGTCGCTGTTGACGTGTCGCCGTTGCAGTTACGCTGGGCGGGCTGATCTACAATATGAGCGCAAACCGAAGAGTGTCATTCTCAAATCACATCAGACCTCCAATCGCTTGAGCGTGCGGCTCAGATATGTTTTTTCCTTTTGTCTAATGTCCTTTGACGTTTTGTTTCGACCATATCCGCCGGGTTCCCCGATGGTCCTTCATAGGTCGGGCCGTGACAGTCCATGTATGTCAGTGCTGCTTGTCCTTTTGATGAGACCACCCCCTTTAGCCGGTCAGATACCGACTAACTATCGCTCTGCGCTCTTCCCTGTCCGCCAGAAGGTTTGGAAGACGATGACGATGATGAGGCGAATGAGGACGAAGCGGAAGCGAATGACGAGGAGGGGGACGAAGACGAGGAAGAGGCAGACGACCAGTGAGCGGGGGGAGAGGGCGGGAGGGACAGTCGGAGGTTCTGGGGACGGGACTGCGGCGAACGGCGAGCCACGGCCGAATTCACAGAGCTGTACCCACAAAGCCAATTCATTTGTACATACTCAGGACCTGTCATGTTGTGCGGTACTTACACCCCTCTCGGCCGACGGCGCTGTCGTCCTGTTTTGTTTCGTTGTTGGGGACGGCGGTGTTTTTCTACACGTCCGTGGCCCAACCGCCGCGGTGTCGCCGCTTCTGGCAGACTGAAAACAAGGCCGGCCGACTCGGAAAGCTCGAAACGTCCGCCGGCTTGCGCTGTGCTGCCGTGAAACATTGGCAAATAGAAATGGAAATTTTCACGGCTGGTGTTGGTGGGGTGGAGCGGCGCTGGCGGCGGAGGGGCTGCCCTGAGCCCAGCCCCGAGCAGCTGCCGAGTGATGTGTGGTCTCCTGAGAGCGCCCTCCAGCGCTGGGGAGATGGGGACAATTTTATGTAATCGCAAAACGGTATACAACCTATGGGTAGGGCTTGCGCGAGTAGTGGCGTAAAATCATATTCATTCGGCGCGTGGCGCGATCGTTTCACATTCCCTTGTCTTACGCGCAGATGGCTGTTTTAATATGTACATAAAGCGCACCGAAGAACATGCGTTTGATGTCATATAAACAGAATTCCTAAGGGGCAGAAATGAGGGAACCTCATAGCTTGTCTTGAAGAGAGGAGTCTCTTGGACCTGGCCTCGGGCGAGTCTGGTGTAGGTGGCGGCTGAGGTAAATGAAGGTGGCGCCACTGCGTTGTCGGCCGCTCAGCATCACCGTCCTTGCGAGCCGAGCGTAGGCACTAGCGTATTCACGTGGACTGCCCGGAAACCCTGAAGAGCTTCTGTGTGGTATGACGTTCCTGCTGCCATTTTTTTTTTCGCTCAGCCCACTTGGAAAATTTAAACGGTGTTGGAGCTAGAAAGAAGAATTAAACGAGCTCTTTTCCATCTCTTATATCGAGATCTTGTCTGGTTCACCATGGATCGGGACAGACAATCTCGCGTATCAATTAAAAACCCGATCGGGCGCTCGTCCTCATCTTTTCATTGCTGCTGGGGCTGCTCGATTATTGAGTCCATTGTCTGTTGAGTCTTCCAGTCGATACTGGGCATCTCTGTGGAAATCCGGATAGACAGCAACGACCGGTCCTGAACCGTATCAATTTTAAGTGACATTTTCACTCAATGTTGCATTATTCTCACACATGCAAAATTCGTTTAGCGGTTTGTGAACGAGACACCCTTGCACTAGGGTCGTGCGATCAGTGATCATCGCGGGTCTCGCTGATTATAGTCATAGGTATCATGTATGGACCGTGGACCTCATAGAATTATCATTGCAGCAACCTTTGACACTAATCACCAACTAGCTAATCACGTATGGGTATCTCCCATGGTCAGAGTTCTAACCACACGTTCCGACAGTGACACCCTGTCTCCCCGGAAGCTGCGCCACTGCGGTCCGTTACATGGGGGACCACAACGGAGACACCCGTATCAACAAACCCGTGGGCCACGCAGTACGTTCGTCACCAGTGACGGCCAGGGTGCGCCGGACTATGGAGTATGAACCGCGAGGGGCTTACGCCCACACTGAGTGGGCGACCACCCAGTCAGCCGGTAGAGGGTGCCGGGGGAAGGACTGAGTTATACCGGGGAACTGAGTCATCCAATTGGCGCAGACACTACTGTCGTATGAATTGGGGAGGGGGTGCACTGTCCATTGGGACGGGGGACCGTGCCATTCCACTTGACAAAGAACAATGCCATACCACTAGGAAAGGTTGCAGGCAGACTGTTCTGTTGGTAGAGGGGAATAATGCTGTCATCCTGCATTGCAACGGAAATTAGTCAGGGTTCTGCCATCTCACTGCGGTGGGAACTGTACGGTCTCACAGCTGGAATATTGCTCGATCGGGGACTGGCATTGCACGGCGGCCAAGGAACAGGTCATCGCCATGATATTAGCCACATACTTCATCTAAAAATTAGGCCTACCAGTTACCCATAAAATATCCCCCAAGCGTTATATTGAAAAATGGTGCCCGTCCGGTAGAGATCATGCGACACATTCGAAAAGCCTGCCTGATCGCTCCGAATATGCTTACGCGCCGACTACCAAGGCCAACTGAGTGATTTCATTGATCCAATGCAAGTGTCAAACCCGGCCTTGAATACGCCCGTCTCACAATGAATGGGCTCCAAATCCATTTCCGGACATTGTCGTCCGGGCGGTGTCCATTTGCGGCGCTCGGCGCGGCCGGTGATTGGTCGCGCTGGGGCCAGGTGAGCGGTCCTGTCCACCAACTCCCCCCCGATCCCCCTACCGTCCGCCGCCGCTGAATCTCGCCGGTCCGTCGGCGGCGAGCACGCGCTGCTCGGTGGTGCCGATGTGACGCTACCGGGATGCAGATTAGCTCCGCTGCGGCGCTCACCTGGCGAGGAAAAAAGCCCGACAGCTTTCCCGTCGGCGCGGCCGGCTGCGACGCCAGTACCGTCGCGCCAGGCCTTATTTGGCGCGGCCAGTGGTGGTCGTTAAGCGCTCAGCCGACCAATCGACCGATGGTTGGACTGACCAACCGACAGACCGATGGTGGTTATGATCAACCGATGGTTGTAATGACTGATCGACTGATGACTGGGCTGACCAACCGGCCAACGAACCAAGTTCAGCCGTTGGACCGCCTATATGATGTAACTGTGAGCCGATTTGACTCCCCGACCAACCATTTGAAGACCAATAGATCAAACGTGTCTGATCAACCGACAGACCAACCAACCAACTGACCGTCTGACCAACGAACCCACCGGCCAACCAACCGACCGACCTACCGACGGACTGACCCATCGATCTATAGCACCGTACTGTAGGCTCTAACGGATGTCGGCTCATGATTCATCATAAGCTTACCTATCGGTGGTTCCATCCCGGATGATCGGCACTGGGCAGTAGTGGCAGGACAGCAGGATTTAGGAAAGCCGAAGCTGATCCAGTGGTGTAGTCTGGCACACTACTGGGGTCAGACAGATCTGCTGTCACTATAGTGCCATCGAGGGGATCTTCGCTCCGTTCACTAAGTGAACTAGTATTCTGCCATTTATTCCTTCGTTAGCCTTTGAACACGAAACAATGAATGACATGCCCTTCTCACTCTATTGGGTATTGAGAACAACATAGCTGGTCTCCCTGCAGAGACTGGCTTCGCTCAGCCGTAGACCATGTGGCACGGACCGCACTCCGACCCGTCCAATAGGTACCGGGGTGGACGGCGTGGATCGGTCGGACAGCCGAACAGTCGAGGGTGGAGTCCCACAGGGGTGCCGCGTGCCGCCGCCCGAGCCGGACACGCCCCTCGTTCAGCCGCTGCCGCCCCCGCCCCCGCCCCCGCCGGACCGGCTCGGCCGGTGGACCGCCAGCGTAATGCGCTTAGCCTCGAGTGCATACATGCATACATATGTCAACCTGAGTCGGCGGGCCGGCCGATAGGTGGCACTATGTAGATAAGACGGGCCTGGACTGAAGCCTGTTCGGCCGGTACTCGACTTCTGATGTCACTAAAGGGGGGCTCGCTAGACGCATACGCTGTAGGATGTGAAGGCTGCATGACTCGCGACAATCCTTCGGACTCTGAGTCCTGACAAACGGAATAAGCGACACACATTCTTGCGCTTACGTTCATACATTCGACTTCATTGAGCGCTCGGCCTACAGTGGCGGCGCGGCGCGGCCGTGCTCGGAACCAGGCGCACCGTCCATGCGGCCCCCATGGCCTAGCCCTGGTCGGTAGAGTGCCGATTGGTAGGCGGGCAGCTTGGGAACCATGGCGGTGAGACCAGGGACGATTCTGTTTGACACCAATTGCATTGATCCAGCCTGGGCAACCTGACTGCTGACTGATAGCTTTATAGTCGTAGTCAGCAATCACCAGACACCAGTCATAAGCCACCAATCACCACTCACCAGTCATCAGTCGATGGTCAACATCCATTTCGCACCGACCGGCCCGGTACCAGAACATACAGTGACTACTTCTCGCTCCGAAATGCATGCCTTTGAGATGCTACTCGAACGTCAGCCTGGAATCCGCTGGAACCTAGGGATCACGGACTGGTCGACTGGGAAGTGGAATCTCTCACCGGCCGTGTGTAGGTTGCGCCGGAAATTGTGAATCATCCATTGGTAATGGTACTGATCGCGAATCGTCGGGGCTGCTTCCTGCATATTTAGGCGCTACAGGGTAATGGCTGGCTGGAGATGCAGGGGAGAGGGATACGGCGGGATCCGTGTCGGATTTGTAACAGCGAAAATTCCGGCGTAGTTATTACATTAAACTACAGGGTGCGAAGTACACATTCCTACGGCTCAATGAACTGTTAACCCGAGTAATGAAACATTTTACATACGCCATGATAAATGGCATGTTTGTTTTGCTGTAGCTGGGTTGGTTATTTCCGGTTCGTGAGCTAAAAATATAATAGGGAGGCATAATAAACAAACATCAGTAAGAACATACTCGTAAGATCAGTTTTATTTTCGTCAAAACGGTTACCACAATTAAATAACATATCGCCAGCATTCCGCGGGTCCATGGTCGCTATAACTATCAAGTTGGCGGGCCGTGTATTTAAGTTGAAGACCACCATAGCTGGCTGTCTTTCATTATTTTCATACCACTCAAACAAACTACGTAGCAATTTATTGACGTGCATAGAAACGTCAAACCGGATGATGCAATTAGACGATTGTTCGTGAAGTGAAAGACCGCAAAACAGGGAGCCTTCGTGAGTTCAACTCGAATGGGTGCGTGCAGTCATAGAGGAGCAATAACACGCCTAGTTTTAGGCTACCAGAAAAATAGAACGGCGAAAGAATATTTGCAGACAGACAGACAGACGGACAGACAGACAGACAGCACGTCCGGTCGGCCCCTGCAGAGGTGTGAGCGGACATTGTTGCGGTCGCAGTATGACGCGCTGGGCCGGTCGCGGCACTGACCACCGCCAGTATAAGCTGATGAAGTGACGTGCGACGGATGGGTGACGAGGCACGATTAGCGCCATAAAAAAATGATAGGCCGATGGCCCCTCGGTTAGAGTGGATATTTATAGTTATTCATTCTAACCACCGGAGTTTTCTCTGTGCACGTTTTCTCGGGGAAAACGACAAATGTTGTGCGCGTTGAAAGGCTTTCTGTCTGTAAACGAGGTTACTGCGTAGACAAATGCTGAGAAAATGATATGGTTTGTATGATGAAATATGTACACCACGACTCAGCATGACGAAATGTTTTCTGTATCAAACATTAATAAATAGGCGTG